TAACCAGGTGAGGGTGCCAATTAATTTTTTTTGGCGGGAAAATGGACAGAACAAGGAATTAGTGTGAAATTAATACAAAGACAAGTTTTTTTGCAGGAGAATGTAAGTGTAAAGAAAGGTCTAAAGTGACAATTAGGGGTGCAATTTGGCATTCATACGATACAAAGAGGATGACTAAGGAATTAATGCGGACAGCTAAAAAAAAAGATACAAAGTTTTTCGGTGGGAGAATTTAAGTGTAAAGAAAGGTCCAAAGCGACAATTTTTGGCGCGACGACAACAATGCAGCCGGCTGTAATACGAAGATTTTCTGTGGGAGAATTTAAGTGTAAAGGTCCAAAGCGACAATAAGAAGAGGATAACAACGTGGAATTCATGCAGCCGGCTTAGATGCTAAGTTTTTCAGGGGGAGAATTTAAGTGTAAAGGTCCGAAGCAACAATTTAGGGGCAATTTGGCATTCAACCATACAGTATGAAGAATTTTTCAGTGTTGCTTAACATGAAATTGAAGTCGCCGGCTACGTTAAATGAAAAAAGAGAAATGTGAGTGCAAGAGAAAAGAGAAATGTGAGTGCAAGTGTGTGCATGTGGAGTGTTGTCTCGTGTCAATAAAGAAACCATACTCACACCTCCCCATCTTCTTTCACGCAGCCCTGCCTACAAAAGTCTGGTTCTTCCTCCTCAGCTGCAATCCGGTCTTCGGGTCCACAACTTGAAGACTGAGAGGGACAAAAGTCACTGTACTGACAACAGCAATTGGCCTTACTAAAGCATGACATTACATAACATGCAAGTTTATGATCATAGTTAAGTTGTCGCTGAATGTTGCATTTAAAGGTCCAACGCACTGCAAAAGGAATCCATAAAAGTGTGACGTAACTGTATTTCAAATGACAAAGTGCAATGTGGAACCAAGGAGGTTATACTGGAGACACTTATAATAACCTCTTGTGTAGGACTAATTGTTTGAGGATGTGAAAAGGAGTCTAGAAAAGTCACTGACATACTGTGTAATTAAAAGCAGTGCAAGCTTTAGTGACTGGACAAGTAGATTGTGTGTTGCTGAGCAAATAAACTATACTCACAAGTGAGTCACAACTGTGCCCGCTGTCTTCATTTCCTTCTGCATATTTAAGTCAACTGGTTTCTCCCAGAACAGACAGCCAACCCTCAGGACACACATAACAATATGAAAGGATAAGAAGTGTGATGGAAAAACATCATGAAATTCAACTATCCCATTGATTGAATAGACTTTGAAGGAGTTGGGCTCTACAAAACTGCTTTTAAACATGTTACAATGTACTTGTAGCATTTCACACATCAGAGTTCTTAACATACAAGTACATGTGAGGACAGGAATAAGTCATGTAAGTTGTAAAAGTTGCTTGAATACATGTACAATAATTTAGGTTTTTAAAAGTGTTTAGTAACTGTTACTGGCAGCATGTTATCCCACAATTCGTAATGCATCCAAGAGGAAAGAAAAATTCAAGTTTTTAAGTATTGTCTCACCTGCATGGACAGGTACAAACTCCTGATCTGATCTGGTTTACACAGAAGTCAACTGTCATCACAAGTTTCTCCCAGTCAGGACAGGAACGTCAAGAAACGCATAACTAAGGATGAAAGGATAATTACTGTATTATAATGCAAAAACATCTTCGATAACACTGACTAACCATCAAAGATACTGGTAATCATAATGTTTTTTAATTAATAGATGTAGAAAGTGTTTGGCTATGAAAAGGTGTTTTTAAACACATTACTGGTTGTCTGTTATGCCTCAGGGTTTGTAACAAATCAGAAAAAGGTTTTAAGTTGTAAAGCATTGTTTCACCTGTACAAACTCTTCACTGTGTCTTCAAGTCAACAGGTTTGCCAAGACATCATTTGGTCTGGTGTGGACAGAAGTTGTCCATCACACGATTCTCCCACTCAGGACACACCTATATGATATGATGAATAATTAGCAACATTGAGTGACCATAAAAGATAAAATAGATAAAATCCTTCAATCATCCAACCCCTTTGCTTAGATATGTGACCTTGTATTTTGCCTCTTCCTAGAAATGTAGACAAGTGCTTATATACCAGACATTTATTCAAGTAAGGCAACACAAAATTAATGTGAAAGATGTTTTGCTACATGTGTGTTATTTTTTATAAAGTGTAAGGCGTAAGGGAAGAGTGCTAGAGTCAAACAGATCTTCTAAAGCATTGTCTCACCTGTGGATGTTGTTGTCATCTTGCTCTTGTGTCTCTAAATCACCCGATCTGGTTCAATCTTCTCTTGTCAGGTTCAGACAGTAGTCTTCACTACGTACATACTGCATCAGTCAGCAGCCACCTAACTATACAGACATCAGAAGTTATACACTTGTCTCAAATAACAAGGTAATCACAGGTTGTGTGGTATTTTTTTTGGCAAATCATGAGCATAACAAATGAGTAATCTTGTTTTTAGATTGTATTTGTGGTGTGGCCGTCAAATCAAGTCATTATGTACTTAAAATTCGTAGTACACTAAGAAACAAGTAATGCTGTGACGGTATTTCATCTGCTAAAACTCTCTCCTGTCCTTGGTGCTGAACGTACAATATGATTTTCTTCAATCTGTGAATCTGTCGCTAGGTGGCGTGACTACTCCATGAGTGACAATAAAACATGGCGTTAAAAGGTTTTAAGTCTCTCAACAGTAGGAGGCATGGTGACGCGATCCCCTTGCCCAACGTCTAGTGAAAAAATAGTTCACTTGTAGTGGACCAGCATCACAAGAAGTCATCCTAATTAGCCTTCAGAAACCTGGTACAGTACAAAATGTAAAAGCGACCGATAGCACACTGTTGTTTTGAACACGTGACGTACATGTCGTATCACGAAATGACATAACAGAGATCGGTCTATCTGCCCTCTACCTTTGCTTTGCACTCTTTCTATTGGCGTTATTTGTTCATGAAACTGCAGTTAGCCATTCTATAGATATTTGATACGGGCAAGTCTTGCGACGCTAATACCTCTACCTATCATGCTGACTATGGGTGTGTTTTAGATAGCAAAATATGGATGTACTATTGCATCTTGGTGTTCTTTTAAAACCAGCTAATACCAGCCCAGAAGAGAACAAGAAATAACCATGCCTTCAAGTACCAGAGTTATCAACCAAGGATTGAGGCGGTCAAGAATTCATTCTTTCCTAGAACTATCGCAGAGTGGAACTCAATGTCACCAAGTACAGTAGGGGCATTGTCATTAGATAGCTTTAAACAATGTCTAGAGTTGGAAGTTCAAGGGTTAGGTGTAACAAGTCGATCGGTGTAATATAGCCAGCTGCTGCCGCGCCGCGTGCCTGCGAAGCTGGTGTGTTACGCCGAAAGGCGGTTATACCGGCTATACAGATACAGCTCCGTGATGACGTACTAGTATACGTAAATCTATCAACGTAGAGGCTGGAATGTTGGTTCTTGGTTACGCACATATATATACCAAATATCAAGACAATCCATATAAGCCTTCTCGAGTTATCGTGTGGTCAGACACACACGAACGCCTCCGACAACAAGACCTTCTTGGCGAAGGTAATAAAACGAGCGAGTCCAATGTATAGTCATGTTAGTTCAAAGTTGACATGAAAAAAGCGCCCCTGAATGGCGGCTTTAAATTTACTAAGTGTAGGTTTAAACACAGGGCGCAAATAATTCACGCCATTCTGTGTTTAAGCTTCATTTCATTGCAACGAGTTTTTCCTAAATAGTCACGAGAACATGAAGGAATCTTTTTAAAAATGCGACTCACCTCCTTAAACGGACGTTTCTCATGTTAAAAGACGAATTTTAACCACCGAGTTCTTCCTTGTCCAAGCACCGTGACTTGCCATCTTGCTGCAACGTAGTCTTACCACCTGATGAGGAATCACCATAATTTGCATTTTCTCAATTAAGTAATTAAGTTAAATTGAACACAGGTGTGATCTTACCAACCACCTGTTAATGAATCATCATAATTTGCATTCTTAAAACGTGTTGGACCAAGGCACTGTTCATATGAAGTCAGTGAAGGCGCTTTGCATGTGGTTTCCCTCGAAGCCGGTTTCAAGTGGCTCCATCTGAACGCTCCAAATCACATTGCATTGAAAGCGCCTCGATCCCAAACCACTTCTAGAGGTGGTTTCGAGGCAAAAAAAAATCCTTGAACCCCCCCCCCCAAAATCAGGTGAAAATTAAAAATAAAATAAATATGCGCACGCTGATGTCATCCGTAACAATTACTTGCTATGGCCTTAAAACGAAACAAAAACTACAGAAAACACAGAGATAAAGATAGATATCTTTATTTTATCCATTTTACAAACACCATGCAAAAGCACACATATTTACACGCATTACAATAAAGATTTGCTGCAAAAAATTGCTGTGATTCTGTTATATCTTAAGGCCACACCAATTCAATCAGTTGTTTCTTTGATTAATTCCACGAAAGAGTCTCTTTTCACAACATTATAAAGAGTACTAAATCAAGGTACCATGGTGTTATTTCATTTAAGTTAGTGCTGCCAACCCACACAAAATGTTGTCCTTTTTCATTTTAAAAGAAAGAAACAAATGAAAAAAAAAATAGTGAGGTCTTTTACTATTCCAGAGGTAGTAGTTTGCAAACCCTACTTGGGCTTATGTCTGGCAATGTGATTGAAATACAAGTCATGTAGTGTGTAATGCAAGAATAGTACTATTTATATTACATAGTATAATATGTAACTCAGTGATATAATGGTTATGATGAAGAGCTGCTTATAATGTATTGTTTTAAATTTACAATTTCTTGGAATGATAATTTTTCTCAATTGACAATTTTTAGATATAAACAATTCTCTTTCAGATGCTACTCAATTAGTATGCAATATGGTTTCTACCAATTTGTATACAAATCAAAGCACTTTTAAAATTTCTCATCAATTGCAAAGACATATGACAACATCTTAATTTCAGATAGATTGTTTACTTTAGTGCGAAATATCATTTTGTCCTGTAAATATTTGCAGCTACTAACAGCCTTTATTTGGCTTGTGAAGACCTAAGACACCACATATATATATTAAGTACTTTAGATAAACAAGCTATAGAAAAGAGTGTATAAGTATCCAAGATCGCATCTACGTATGGTAATAGACCATATAACTGGTTAAAAAAATATCTACTTCCAAAAATTTGGAATTATACTCAATTTCAAATTGTCTGTGTTATGACCATGCCATCATGTTGTTATCGCTGCAATTTAGTTTATATGAGTAATATTGTAACACCACCTTGTACATATATGTTCAACTTGATAGTAGATCTAAATAAAGATAATTTTCAAAAGATCATTTAAGATAATTATCATATGCCATCCTCCTGGCTGTATAGATAGATTTCAACTTTTGTATAGATAGATTTCTACTTTTTAACACTCTAACAACGCATGCAAAAATAATTGAATTGATAAAATCTAAAAATCGATGTTAACAAGCTTTAATCTTATCCGACAGATATGCATAATTAACACAGTCTCAAACAGTTCAACTGTTATATGTGTATCCCTCTCATAATTTTGACTCATTTCTTCCATCATACGATTGTCATGCTTTGTTCTGAGAACTTCTGACTAATAGAATTAAAGCTATGATTATCAGGAAAGGCACTTGTGTGATTCCATCATTAGTCGCAGTGATTGTCCTGCAGTTGGTCGCCATTCCGCGCATTAGGTCAGGCGGACAATGACGGGGCCGTTGCCCATGTCTCGCATGCGGACGAACTCCTCGCGCTTCTTTGGGATGCGGTCAGTCATGGTGGCGTTCAGGTACACGAACTTTCCGGTCTGTAGGCGCGGGAAGGTCTTCTTGAGCTCCTTCCTCAACTCCTGAACAGATACAAATATTCTCATCAGAAACAGGTCTGTTGTTCTCAATGTTTGGCTCTAAAATTGCTGATATACTTTTCCAAAAGTTGAAATGCGTACATTTTTTAAGTTGAAAAAATTATATGGGCAAGAAAGGCAAGCTAAATTTCATGGTTCTTTTGAAGTTTTATAATCTGAATTTAATGTCATCTAACAGGTATTGTACATATTTTCTGCTCTTGAAGAGTAGCAGTAACTAGACAGATAAAGAAGAGATGAATGAGACATAAGGTTTTGGCCATCACACACTTTTCTTCATTTCTCTCAGTTTCCCATGGATTCGCACTAGGTACATAATATGTATAATAATGTGCTTTTTTTTATAACAACATACATGTATAATAACCTTGTGAAATAGAGTGTCAGACATACCTGCAGAGACCAGGACACCTTGATAGAGTGCTGGCCCAGCTTGAAGAACCTGGAGTCGTGATCTTGAGCCACCACGTCAAGCAGGATGCAACCATTGGCTGAAGGGGAAGAATATCATGATTACTACAGTACAGTACTGTAACAGTATATGCTAACTTTTAAGTTGAAAAAAAATTGATGTGTGCTCTTCATATTTTGTTGATTTTAAACTTTAACACAACCAAGTCCTGAAACAAATGGTTCCATAAACAACACAAGCAGAGAAATGTGCAAGTTGTGTAGCAAATTCCACAGGTCCTTGAACTTCTGGGATTATGTACAATAATAACAACACTGAGGATAGTGGTGCCATGTGCTATTGATGGACATGTAACTCCTGTCATGTGAACAAACATAAATTAGATCAGAACAGAAATAGCATAGTAGTGAAGCAGCAACAGCTGTTTTACAAGTACTGTATGGGTCACCCTGAATAAAGAAATTAAACAAAGTCACTGGAGGTAATGTACATTGTATATGGCACCCTCACCACCTCATAATATCATCACCCTGTGAATTGAAACAGAATTATAAGAACAAAGACACTCAAGTTTTGGGAATAGCAAAACATTGTGATATCAGCACCATCAGTGTCACCAGTGGTTAAGTACTGTTCCTTGTGTACCTTCAAGTCGGTTCTTTGTACCAGAATCACTTCTATGCCGAAGTCCTTCTGTCTGAACTAAAGGAGGAGATACAGAGATGGAGGGAAGGGTGGAGGAAGGGAAGGAGAAACTGTCCATGGAGGAAAAAGGGGTGTCATCGGTGGATTGCCCAGACGGACTGCCTGACGTGATGCCTGTGTCGGCAGAGTACGAACGTCCAGATTTCTGAGACGATACGGGGCTTGGCTTCCGAGCAGCTGATGAAATGGATAGATAAATCATGCCGTTGTTAGTATCAAATGCCTTGTATTAAGAAGAACTGTTAGCAGAGGGTAAAAGGATATTTAGAAAATGTGTTCTTCAGAGCAGAGTGTTATCCTGACACAAAATGTGGATTGCCTACCAGTCTTATTCCATTGGACAAGTTGGTCATTTCTGATGAAGGCTATCAAGTCAGCCCCATACTTGGGAGTCTACAACTGTTATATCTTGAGTTGGGTAGCAATTTCAACCTGTTACCATGTAACTTATCTTCTGCCTTGACCTTAACTGGGGACATTAGGGATGTGTTCACGGGAGACAATGGGTTCTTGTAACTTATGAAGCACACAAATTATAACACAAGTTTGATAAGTCTCAATAATAGAACTAATAAAAATGCATGGCGTACCATCTGGTTCTTGGTACTTCCTGCAGAGGGTGGTGACGTCGACCTCAGGCATGGGGGAGGAGGTGCGGCTGCCGATGGGGGTGACCTGGGTGTGACCCTTGTTCATGGGCGGCAGGACGGGGTGGGGGTTGATGGGCTTGTTCCCAGGGCTGCGATGTGGGGACACTACGGGGAAACAATTTTCTGTTAAACGATAATATTCAGATACTGTAACAACACAGGACAAGACATAACAGTGGGCAGATCGTTCAATGCAGTCCATACATGTACTCAAATCACAGTTCCTTTACTCATTTCTTTTTTTGTTGAGAATTTACCAGACTAATCCACAGCTTATTTACTTCATTATTAAACTTTTTCAACTTTTATGATTGAACTTTTGTTGACAGACTGCCCCTATGGCTGAAGAGTTATGTATGGGATCAAAAGAGAGAGAGAGAAATTTACGTCTGAGTCATACTTTATAAGTCTAGTATGTACAATGTATTCTAAGGCTTCTTTCCTACCAAGTCAACTTAGTACATACTGCTGGTACTACATACATGTACATATCAGATCAATGACTGATAATATTTAGTATTATCAAGGCTATAAGATTAAAGTATATTATTAAAGAGAACAACAATTATACTGGCTTTAAAAGACTTAGTATAGATGAAACATTCTAGACTGGACCCACCAGGAGGCAGGTCCTCATTGCTGTCCTTCACGTTAGCGTAAGAGGGGTTGGTGGACCCCAGGCCAGATTCCGCGTCGGCGCCAGCACGGGAGGACGACGGCGACGGCTTCAGGGGAACGTCGTCTGTGACCTTGTTCCTCACGTGGGCAACTTCTGCAGAGCGCGTGTAATGATCGTGAAAAGAGTTATCCTCATTGGTTTGGGAGCTGAATTATGTTACTTAGATTTGTCACACACTATAATTATAATCAAATGTACTGTGCAAAAATTGCTCCTAATGTAAGTTGATACAGGTGACTGTATAATATGGGTATTAACTGTAACATATTACAATTAACTGGGAATAACTACATTATGACGGTTAGCATATCATGACTGCTGTTGAGATTTTGTCCTCATCGTAGTAAAAAAATCATTTAGATTTGGTGGTAACGTAGCCAAGTTCAACATGAACAAAACTGATGATTGTGTTGTTTTTGCTAACACGAATGCATATTGTACAAGGGCCTTCATTTTTTACAATCTGATAAATATTACTAGAAATATTACCACTGCGTGCTAAGGTCATATTATGTGTCAATATTTGAAATTGTAACTTACGTTGTTGCTTCTTCTTGCGATAGAAGTAGAAGACTGCGGCAGCGATGATGATCAGCAGTAAGAGGACGATCACAACAACAACTGGGACAACAGGGAAGGCAGAGGGCGGGGCAGCCTGGAGGGACAACACACTAAAAGTTAATTCATGTACATGTACCTTTAGACTTGTTTAGTATAGTATTACTAATATTATATACTTCCACATATTGGAGCTGTTGTAACAATGTCAGTGATATCTTAATTTCTAAATTCTTCAATGATAGTCCTCCTAAAAGTGAATTTTTTTCCAGAATTTTAGAAGAGCAATTTCATGAGTGACTAATCAAACTTGTATTGGGTACAAACTAGCTAAGGGAGGACACAGTACATACCGGGGGACCGCCGTCTGCACCATAATAGTTGCTCCCATCCACAACCATGTTGTTGCGTGCCGTAAGGGTGCTGCCACCGATGTCAAGGGTCATGCCCCCTTTGACCTGGTCGTACAGGTCCATGAGGGTGGCGTTCACACCTTCGTTGGTTCCCTCCACGTCAAACTCGGTGATGACGCTTCCTGTAAAAGTTCAAGGTCAAACACTTCATTAGTGTCGAGGCTCATAGTGAAACTCTATTTGTGTCAAAGCTCATAGTAAATCTCATCAGGTTTTACAAGTATGAGGTAGGGGGCCTTGGTTGAGGTGAACACAACATTGGGCTTTGTGAAAGATATTCTAGCAGTACAAAAGAATAAATGTTGTTAGCAGTTATAATTAGTTACTCCAATATTTAAAAACAAGGACCTAATTGTACTGGTGATTGATTGAGTGAGTGAGTGAGTGGTTGAATGACTAAGGGAGTAGGTGAGTGAAAAATTGGGTAAACAAGTGAGACTCAAGTGAACATATGAATGTCTGTTGTTTGCTTACAATGATTGTACAAAGTCACATACAAGAAAGAGTCTTGGCATACCTTCAGCAAAGCTAAAGTTTGACACAAGGACATCGGATCGCTCCCCAACAACCTTCTGCCACAGGGAGGTCTTCAGATAGTCTTCCTTGCCAACTACAGCGTCCTGAAATGAACGAGAAAATTTTTTGAGAATATTGAAAATGCAAAGGTTAAAAAAAGTGCCGATACAAAGTCAGTAATATTTTGTTCATAAAAAAAGTAAGAAATTCTTCTATCAGTATCAAGTTCCAACTGGTCAGACGATATCATTCCAGCACAGTTTTACTATATGATTACTCTTTCAGCACCAAGGACAAGGACAATGCAGTTCAATTTTGATATTTCTAAACATCTGTTTAGCAATCATATTCAAAAGATTAGCCTTCATTGAATAAAGATACTTACTGACAATTCAATTCTACTTTAAGTACCACATATCTCACCGAATAGCTTCCGTCGAATGTCAGGGTCACACGAGCAGTGTTCTCGATGACAGGAGACGTATGATTGGCCGGATACACCGTGATGGGGCTGGCGTTGATCCAGAAGTCGTGGTCGCCGGGCGTGCTGGTGACGTGGAACCTCAGGTGGTAGCGGTCATACTGGTTCAAGGACAAACCAACGAAGGTCGCGCGCCCGGTGGCTGGGTCAAAGGTCGCGGTCTTGGTACCAGCGAACGTGGCGCCGCCATCTTGAGTTGAAATTGGGTCCAGCTCTACGGTACACTGCCATGTGTGGCCCTGAAAATGATATTACAGAAATCACAATTTATATACATTGACATATTGTTTGATACAATATACATGATCAAGATATCTTACAATTATTGAGAAAAATTAAGAGAATGGGCTACACAAAACACCACATAACATATGCTGAAAAGGATGAAAGGACATTGTTTGAGGCCTTGGTTTTGACAAATAACATAAGCTACAATGGATGGACACAATGGATGATATATAGGTACAGATACAATGTCTAATTTCTGACCCTGTCTCTTTATTATAAATTGTCCTGAGTGACCTGACTTTAAGAGCAGTGTGACACATTTTCATACCTTCCAAGCAATATTCTGAACGTCCTCCTTGGTGAAGGCATCAGTGATGGCCACAGAGAGAGTGAAGTCCTCGTTGACTTCCAGCATGGCGTCTGTGCCAATCACCCGTCCAGACAAACTTCGCTCCTCTACATCTACCGCGACGGAGGATGTGTTAAACCTGGAGGCAGATGCTGCAGGAATGGGGAAAAGGTTAGAGATGGTAACTACATTGAAGTAAACATACATGGATCATTCCACAATACTGATATACATTGTATACATGTACTAACTGATAAATATTTCTACATGTAGTTAATACTTGAGGCTTAGATTTCAAAAAATATACTTAATATTAAGATATTTTTCTTTCTGCATTTTGTACTGAAAAGTGAGATCCTTGTAGTCCTATAATAGTAATTGTTGATAGTTTTGATGAGACTAAATCAAGGAAAAGGGCCGGGTTGAATCACATATTGGCCCAAAGCATCCATATTTCAAATTCAATGATAATTCTTACCAGGAAAGCAAAGATGGTAAGATATCTGAACAGGAACCCCCCCCCCCAAAAAAAAATTTGCCCTTCCAATAATGCATGATGGAAACAAATAGTTTTGCACATTTACCAGGTCTGACAATGACAAAGTCCAGGATGTATCCCTCTCCACTGTGAGAGATGGCCAGGTCGGTGAAGTTGGCCCAGCCGTCCTTGAACACGACGCTGTCTCCCGTGGTCGCGGCGCGGGCGTCCGTACCTGTACCAGACCTGATCGTGGCCTGCACCTCCCATGGGCTAGACGAGGCACCCAGGGTCGTCACTAGGTTCCCCTGTAATAATTACAGACAAGCATTCAGTATAAAATGGTTACAGTGGTGAAAAATCTACAATGCATCAGCAATATATACTGGAACTGGTGTCGTGCACCACAAACTATAAAACTTATTAATACAAACACTAAAAGCAAGCAAGACATATAATCTATCAATAAGGTGTAGTACAGTAAATAGTAAGTTCAATATAGCTGAGTCAAACTCACTGCCACCAATCGTTAAGTGGAACTCACTGCAATTAAGTCAGTAGGGGCATCATCACTACATGTGCTTAAAGTAATGTTTAGAGTTAGCTGTTCAAAGGTTAGGTGTAACAAGTTGTTTGGTGTACTGCATGCCTGTGAAGCAGGTGTGTTATGCCAAGGGGTGGTTATACTGGCTACACAGATACAGATACAAAGTTTTTCCCTGTCCTTACCGAGCCGTCAAACACCTGCAGGGCTGGCTGTGTGGGGAAGGCCGCCCCCTCCCCTCTGGGACCGGGCTGGGTGTGCACCACGATCCTAGAGGGGATCTGGATGGCCGTCGGCGCGGGACTGGTTCCACTCTCTGCCTCTTCTGCCGCTTCCTCCCAGTCCGAGGAGTTGGTTGATGGCAGAGGTTCAACCACTGCCAGGCTTTGAACTTCATAACCGATCTCATCACTGATGGTACCCAGCTGCAAATGCACAAAATTTACGTGATGTTATCATTGATTGCAAAAGACATTGATGATTAAAAAAATGTTTAAAGAACCAAATTAAAGCACATTTGTTTGTTTATTTATTCATTACAATTCACCACATACACATGTACGTGGAAGGCGTGGTGGAACAGGTGGACCTAAGTACACATTTTCAAGGCCACCATGCCATGAAGATATATTTCCTTAGAATATATTAGGCAGTAGCTTAGGGAAAGGTTAGATGTACAATGTACCTGAGTACTATCAACAATAAGGGAGGAGGCCTGCTGGAGGTCCTGACGTGTGTCTTCCGTTGTTTCTTCAGATGAAGAGCTGTCTTCTGCTGGTGGATCGGTGATCTCAACTTCAACCGTCATGCTACCCTCTTTGGGAACAAAAGGCAAAGAAATGTCGCCAAAACTGTAACCCCTTTGTAAAAGTCCACTTTTAGAGAATTGTGACAAACACGTTAAAGATCTTCTGTGCACAAATCCTTTAATTTGCAAACAAATTTCAGAAAGAATGATGGCATCAGTCCATGCTATTTATGTCAACTACAACCAAAGACAATGAGCATAGTACATAATATTCGAATCAATGCAATTTCAAAATGAAAGATTAATCTAAAAGAACAAAACTGTATCATACCAAAATTCTGAAAGGTAAGAAATTCCTCTGTACATTAAAAGCTTTGTTGCCATTAATCATTATGGTGTTTTGATTTTCATTCAGACCACTCTGTCTCTCTACCCCGAATATTCTTGTGCATGTATTATCATTAATGATGATGAAGAATGGTAAAACAACTTAGAGATACATGCAAGCTCCACAGTCCTTACCAGCTCTCTTCTTTCTCCTGCTGTCCTCACGGACCACGTTGACGACGCGGATCTTGTTTGCCGGGATGCCCAGGAAGCTTGCGAGATTCTGCCTCAGGTTGTTCTCGAAGAATTCGTCCACGGTGATGGCGGGCATTCCGAACGCCACCTTCAGGACCGGCATGGTGACAATGTCGATAGAGGTGGAGCCTCGGATGGTGATGTAGAGCGTCTTCTTCTCATCGTCAAAGTAGTTGGTTCCACTGGCGGCATTCATGGCCGGCATGTACTGTCCTGCTGTTGTTGGTGCCTGAGCGAAAACACAGCAGCTCCAGTTTTAACAAAGGCAGAGCTTTACATCTGCTGTCAGAAAATATAGAGGTCTGTCAACGATTCCTGCAACTACAACTGCTTTCAAGATACATTTTCCCCACATACAGACTACCCCATCAGTGCAAACATACATTTAATTTATTATTATTGATAATAATAACCAAGGGTACATAATTCTGACAATAAACTATTAAGTATGCTACTAGCAAAACTGCAATGACCTACAGAATTCTTCAAAGAGGTACCATAATATGCATTGATTAAGCTTACTCACTGACTGTATTTTTCAAAGTTTGTTGTGGGGTAGTAGAGATTAAATTAGCTTTCAGAAAACCTACTATCTTCAAGAATTCAAGGATGTCAACAAAGTTTGAAGGACATCTAGATTATTTACATTCAAGATGAGCTGTCCGTCAGCATTATTTTCTCCGTTGGTGGGCATGACATAACTGGTGCCCCTGTAGACGTCCAAACGTTGTGGATTGGCATAGAAGATGCCCACACGTATGGCCTTGTCTTCTCCATCACGTAGCCTTAAGGTCAGACGCAACTTCTGTGGGTTCACCCCTTTAAAAAACAATCATAACATTGTTTTCAGAAGATAGATGCATGTATGACTGTTAGAGTGTTAACATTACAATTTATGTTTTGCACGGTAAATGTATATATTGATCAAATTGTGTATCACATTGTATCAAGTAAACAAAACATTGATTAAGACTTTGCTTGGATTTCTGTTATATCATATAATGTTGCTTGTTTATTGAAAAGAAGCTACTGTCAACATACTTCATATACATGTAGCTTCTTTAAATTAGTAGTGATATCGATATAAATTTTGATATCATAATGACAGTGCAAGACTGCCTTCTTTTCTACAATGTAAATGTACAATGTAAGAATGTGACATAGTGACAGTTGATGGACGAGAAGAATACAAAAAACAAACTATGATATATAATAAGTTAAGGAATTCCTGAGCAAGTAGTGATTATTTTGTTTTTCACTTTTTCTTTGTGTGTAGATTTGTGTATCTTACCTGTAAAGTAGATGTCATGGTGCTTATCTGAGTACACGATTGTGTAAAAGGTGGAGATGCGTAGCTGGCAGGTGTAGCCTACACACCAGCCGTGGTCCATAGGGCCGTTATAAAGGCTCACGTAGCCTTCTGACAGCACGGCGACTGGAGACAGCCTCCGTGACTCAGTGTCTGGGTCCATGCTCTCGATGATCAACATCTGGTAGTCAATGTCGTGGCATTCGTAGGCTTGCCAGGCAGATTTGTACGTACAACTGCTGTCACGCAGGGCACCTGGAATGAAAAGATTTATTAGATTTAAAAAAACAACTTTCAAACTCAAATCTTAAGTTTAATTTCATGGCTTTGCAGAGCTGAGGTTATGCAATCACTCGAAAAAAAAAATCTTCAACATATCTTGACAATTGGAAAAGGGTGATTAACATGTGGTTTGCTGCTGATTGTTGAGTATCAGTTTGACCAAAGTACAAAGTTGCAGTAGACTATAAGATTTGAGTCTTGAAATAATCAACACCATAATCATAAATTATGATATTCTGTGTATTTGCCTCATGGTTAGCAGTGTCATCTGTTTATTTTTGGCAATGCCTCAGGAGTGGAGGCAGCTTGATGTATGATGATTTTACCTTTGTTAGGAGCCACGTCTGCCACCGCCAGCTTGTTGCCGTCAGCGTCCGACAGCGCGGGCACAGGGATACGGTAGTCTCCGATCCCGTAGCGTCTGTCCCCGTCCCACTGCCACTCCTGCTCTGGAACTACTGTCCCCGCCGTTCCCAGCAGGCTGCCGTCAGAATCCTTGATGAGCGCGATGTGTTTCGCGTCACACGGCATGTCAACACAGTCGGATGGGTTGATAGATCTGAAAAATGATAAAACTTCATTGTAAATTCTTGACCTAAGGCTTAGGCTTATAGCAAAACATACATTATTGATGGCAGACAAATTTTCAAAAAACCCTCACAACTTTGTCTAAATGGGTGCTTTTAATGAACCTTTGGTAACACCTGGTAAATAATTTTCTTACGATCATGTTTTTTTTATCAACAGAGCAATCAGAGAAAGTTTAAAGATATTCTACAAGACTACATGTACAATCAACGTCTTAAGGTATTTACCCCAATGAAGGGCGGCTGTAGTAGACTCTGTACTGCTCTTGAGTTCCAGGGAAGGAAAGCCCGCTGGTGTAGGTTGGGAAAGTGGCATCCTCCTGATTAGGGTTAGTCATGATGGCCACATCCTCCCTTCCGCACTGGTTACCATATCTGGCAAACTTCACATCTGCAACACGAAATTAGACTTTAGCAGACTTTTTACTTTGTGTAAATTTGGGCAAGCCTTAACCCATTATACCAAGAAGTCATAAAATTCTAATTAATCAATTTCATAATTGACATCATTCCGGCAAACATCACTCTGGCATCACTCTGGCAAGCTTGTGCAACAAGAAATCAGAGATTTCAGAAGACCCGCCTTGGGTACTTAAGTATAAGTTTGGACAAGCCTTAACCCATTACCAATAAGTCCCAAAATTCTAAATTAATTTTTCTTTAAATTTTCGTTACCAGTTTACCAACCATTCAGCTGATCTAATACTCAGACTGAGAACAAAGCTACCTTTTGGTGAATATGGCAGATAAATCTGTAAAAGAGAACAGTTCAAATGTTAAAGAAATACTCACTGTTTATCACCATGTAGCCAGAGAGGGGTGGGTAGGCCATGTTTCCAGCAAAGGGATGTGTGGGGACACCGTTGTTAGACTGTGAATGCATGGCCACCTGTGTGCCAACCATCGCGCCACCTGGAGACCCAAAACCACGACCCTGGAGAAAAACAGCAAAATTACTCAATGGCCATTTAAAAAAAACGTCAGGATCAAGAAATGGCTATAATCCAGTATGGAAAGTTGCTGTTGAAGAAAATTTCCTGAAAAGATGGACCCTAGAAACATCAAGATACTGATTTTTCCCACATGAATCACACGTTTTCTGGTCATACAATGTAGTGCTAATTATATTAAATTTTGCCCTTAGCTTTTTAGTAGCTTTAATTAGATCACTTGAAATGAGTATATCAATAACATTTTTTTTTAATTGAGCAATTGTTGCAAGACTGCAGAAGATACTTTTAAGATTCCGACTGAAGTACTGCTGCAGAGTTATCAGCATAGACATTAATAAAGCACACATTCATTTTGCTCACTCACTCACTCACTTACTCACTAACACACATGCACTCACTCACTCACTCACTTACTCACTAACACACATGCGCACACACACGCGCACACACACACACACAGACGGAAACACAAACACACAATATTGTTTATATCTCACCATTTTGGGAAGTCTGATGTAGGTTGGTTTGGGGTTAGGGTTCAGTTGGGGAAGGTCTCTGTCACAATCAAATCCTTCACTTTTGCCAATGAAGGTGGAGTCTTTCAAATGGACCCAGTTGTCTTTAACTTGGTGTGTGAGTGCCGATGGACCAATCACAAAGTGAAACAGTCCAAGCTAAAAACAACACAATTGTTATCAATATGTTACTCATAGCATTTTTAGCAAATACTTGACTGTACAGTCATAGAAGTATAATATTCTTGAGGTATTTGTCTAAAAATCATCTATTAGAACGTTTCATTGCATTTGTATTTCTCATTATTATTTCAATCAATCTAGTGTATATTCATCAAATTAATAATTTATACATGTATAATTGCTTCTCTTCTTAATACTCATCTAGTATTAAGTAAAAAAATACATTTTTGACCAGGACTACATATTTGGGTCACAAACCACAAAACATATTAATTTAAATATAATGATGTTAACATCAGTCTGAGACCATCCTGGAAAACAAAAGTGTGGAATAGAAGCCCACTCACCCGGGAATCAGCAATAGTGTTATCTGAAATCTCCAAGTTGCAATCTGACTGGAAGTAGATGCCGAAGTCGAAGGCTTTCCAAACATAAAATCCTCGGACCTTGACACAGGGCGGGAAGCCGTCTTCAAAGGCCCAAACACCAACAAGGGTTCCGTGCACCTCATTGTTAGACCTAGGTGCAATTTCAAACAATCACGATTATCTTTCAAATTGTTAAACAATTTGTAAAAATACAGTTTCAGATGACAGTTTCCACTAACGTGCAAAAATGATGACTTTTCACTAAGTTTCTGAGCTTGTACTAAGTACATATAGTACTAGTACAAGATGGGTGACCCATGCATGACTTCAAATGTGTCACAGCATATAGACCTGTAACTCTAGAGCCTACGAGCTATAGAGGTGCATCAAAATGTATGATTTTGACATGCATGTGAAACAGTCTATTGCAAATCCAACAAATACTAATTGCTTGCCCACTTGAATTAAATTCAAAGGCCACGATAGAATAAAGTTCAATTGGCCTTAAGAAAAATCTCTAACTTGAAACATACCATGCCTCTGCAGTGTTGCCTGTGCAGGGTTCTCCATCGATATGATACCCTGCCTTTTCCGACCCGGCGACGATGTTCCCCTGTAGCACAATGCCCCGGCCATTCTGCACCTCGATGCCGGCATCCCATTTCCAGTTATTCTCCTCCGTACGGCCGTTGTAGTCACCAGTCCAGATGTTCAGAGCCACCAAGTTGTTACGGATTTTGTTGTTCGTGCCCCAGACATTTATTCCTGCAAAGGGAACAAAGATGCTTTCCTGTAACTGCATATATGATGAACTATGGCATCGAACACGAGTTTATAGCAACCTGCTTTATTATGTAGCCAACTATGGGCTTACTTCCGGGCAAGGAAGTACAATTTACATTGTACAATGCATTATGCATTGTTTTGGGTCTATTTGTGTGTGCATGCGTGCATGTTTGCTTGTGTGTCTGCACAATTGAGTGACAGCTCATGGAATTCCTGAATAACTGACCACAAAAGTTAATTCTGGCACAGGAAGTTAGGTCCCAGAACATGACTCAGAGCCAGTGGAAAGTTGGAGGGCGACACTTCGCTAGGTGCCAATAAATTCACAGAAAAGCTAAAATTAAATATATGTCACAGATAGGTTTAAAATCTGCCTCAAAGTGAAGAAACATACCTTGCCCAACTGTATGGTGAATGACGTTGTCATCCACCTCAATGCCAGTTGCTCCAAAGACACCGACAGCGACAGAGAAGCCGTTATGGAAGGCGTTCTTCCTGACATAGGAGGGGCGGATGGAGTCAACTGTCCCCGTGTCCATGTAGGCCACCGAGTAGCGGGCATCAAAAAAGTCTGTCCAACCCTCCTGGCCTGTTCGGTAGAACTCCGTGTTGGTGATCCGGGCATAGCCTAAAAGGGAAAAGTTTAGAATTATCATAAAGGTTATAATCTTGGCTTTAATCTTGTTTTCACATTCTATATCACTTTACATTATAATAAGACTTGTGCAACCAGTCTTCACACTGAAATGACACTTGCCTATATATTCCCTTTCTTCAGTGGCAAACTTGCTGATCATCACCCTGGCACCAAACGACTCCTTGAAGAGTTTTCCGTAGTCGTCTCCGATGACCTTGACATTCCTGGTTAGCAGGCCGACCTCCGCTGCCATGGTGTAGGTCGATTCATCCTCCAAGGTGTAGGTTGAACCTGGAAAAAAGAAATTACAGCATTTTTGGAACTTCACTCTTCTATTTGTGATATGATCGATGCAAACTTGACTAGTATACATGATTCATTTTAAGTCACACTCACAGGATTTCTGGTCAAACTCAGGTCGATGACATAAAATGTACTTACCTAAATGATGGAATGCCACTGAAGCATTCAGAGTTATAGTCTTGTCAGAGATGGCCCGTATCTTGAAGGTCTCTGTCTGCCAGGGGTCGAAAGTAGTGGTTGTTACCATAATCTCGTCCCCGACCACCCAGTCCACCGGGTCCCTCACCACCAGCTGGGTGGCTCCGACTTCGACATCTTGCGCCAATTTGGTGAAGGGATAGTTCCTGTTCTTCCCGTGCAGGTCACAGCCACCGAAGCAGGCTGGATAGAGAAACAAAGTGATACAGTAACTGTAACATCACACATTATAATTACCATCACACACTATACTATTTACCAAATTCCATATTGAATTTCTTCATCCATGAAATTTGTAATGTTTGAAGACTGCAGGAGAGACAATGCTGAATGTTTAGTTTTACTAACTGTCAGGTATAGAATTGTCTGCAATTGGAGTTGTGTATTTTTCCTGTTTTTAAGGAATTTGTGATCAAAGGTCTTATAAGACTTTTAAAAGTTACTTTAAGAATAGAATGTGTGGAAGCCAATGTATCTGTATCTGTCAAGCTGATATGACCCTCCTAAGTATAACACAGCAGCTTAAAAATAGACAATGACTTACCCAGAACTTTGGAGCCTGCGTTGACACTTGGGAAGGGGTAGTCCGGAGTCAGGTGATTTCCCTGCAGGATGATCTTAGCCTGGCCCTGGTACGGGTTGTCTTCCCAGCCAATGATCAACCGCCCTCCCTAGAAAACAAATATGGAAATATTGTAAAAATCAAAAGTACTGACTCAAAGTTTGTCACGGAATGGTAATTGCTTGAATTATTGGGTTGTTCAACAATGTAACAAATCTACGTCATGTACTAAAGGGTATTGACTGTATTGCAGGGACAATAAAAATATTAAGGCAACTAAAAGTATAGAAGGCCACGCCATGTGTTGCAGATTGATCATTCTTACCTGCACAATGATGTAGGTAGCTGTAAGAGTGAGGTCTTTGTCTGGGCCGTCGTCAAATTCCAGAACTCCGTAGATGAAGAGCTTGTGCATGACGGGTAGTGCGGTGTCAGCGACCATCCATTTACCTTAAAGTTTAGAATGTATGACAAAATCACATGAAGGTTATGACAAAATTCAATTAACAGTCCTGTTTAGTAAAAAATCTTTTCAATTGACTTCAAACTGTGATGTGATCTAATCTTCTTAGAAATTGCTATGATCATAGAAATATTTTAGTCATTTCCCTCTTTAATCTGGAATCCAAAAGACTTATCTTTTACGATCTCACTCTGATTCTTCTCCCCAATAGCCAAAGCCATTAAGTGGTTTACATATAATATTACATAGGAAATGACTCAAATAGCATGTACAAAAAAAACACACAGATAACTTGACAACAGTAATTTGACAAGCCGCAGGAAATCATAAGATAATTAGTATTATAATATAACATAACATCTGGTGTACTGACATAACATCAGAATATTTGGCCTTGACTTTGCCCAAGTAAGAACAAACAACGCTCACCTCCTGGAATCTTCACATCATCTCCGTCCTGAGGAAGTCCGTAGGCTCCGTTGCCATAGTTACCGCCCCACCCCTCCTCGGTTCCTTGCCACGACTCGGGGTCGGACCAGAGGTCAAACTCCTCGGGCCTCTCGCGGGCTGGGGGGAGGGTGTTGGGGTCAGGCGGGGGGATACACTGAGCGTAGTAGCAGCGGTACACACGCAGCTGGACAGGCCTGGTCACTGCAGGGTCAGCTGAATCCTTGCCGGACACTGTAGGACGTCATGATTTTAAGAGACTTAATGACAATGCACATTCGTAGCAAGTACAATCTTTTTTATGAAGATAACTATAAAGAAACTAATACATGCACATATCAAAAATACTATTCATGAAATATTATTTTGTAATGTCCAAAAGTCTTAGATTTAATAAATGCTGCACTGCTTCCATAGAATTCCTATATTTCTTGTTTTATGCATCTTTTAATGGGAAGGGTTTTGATATGTTTTATAACAATAACTGTTACAGCATTGGACTCTTCAGAGCAATAGAAAATCCTACCCCACTTTTGAGCAATACCTTAAGGTTGGTTAGCAGACTTACATTTGACATGATTTTCTACATAAAAGTTTGAAGAAAAAGTTTCTTGTCCGTAATTAAAAACAAATGGATGAGACTAACGGATGTAGGTGAATCTCCTGATGTTGGTGTCGAAGTACCAGTCTCCGTTGTCGTTATCTTCATACGACACGGGCCGGCTGGACGCGTTCTTCATCACACCCGGGATCACCTGGAACCGGTCGGGCTTCTGGGTGAAGTTGTGATAGATGTTGATCCACTGGTCATTCTGAAACAAAGGAAAAAGAGGCATGAGGGTGTCCATATCCCGTTTTTAATTGGGGTGTAACAAAATCAAACAAGAAGGAAAACTTAGACAGGAGAGACAAGAGTTTTCTTAACTATTTTCTTTTTGTTTTTGGACGTTACTACATGTAAGACATACTTAGACAAAGGAAAGAAGACAGAAAAGGTATATGTCAAGCTACCCACGACAGGTTACTGTCATTCCAATTGTTAAAGGTTAACTTTGCAGCTTTTACAAATTGAATTGGTTTGGTTTGGGGATATTTGTGATTATGAAAAACAAAAGTCTTGAAGGCTAAAAACAAAAGTCTTGTAGAGGAGACAATGCCCAATGTTTATTCATTACTTTTACTAACTGTCATATAACAGAAATTTCTGCACTCCAGTTAGTAGTTTTCCTGTTTCTGAGGAATTTGTGATTTGAGACTTGAACAAGTGACTTTATTAAGAATCAGTATGTGTGGGAGCCAATGTACATGTATAAAATGAGACAATACTCAGTAATAAGTAATTTTAATCCTTACTGCAAATTCACTGAAAGCTCCCGTGTACGAGATGTTGGTGAGGTGTTCAGCGTCCACATACTCCTTTTTGTGTGAAGTTCCCAACTGTAAATAAAGGAAACAAAAACATCTGTAAAGCAATATGTATGGAACTAATTCAGCACGCACTTGGATGGGAAGAGGACAGCACAAAAATGTTAACCTTTGCAACTTTAAGAATGTAAACTTACGACACTCTGTTATTGGTACTGGACTATTGAGAGTCAATATAAAATCACACAGCATATAAGTAGCAAAGATAATCTATCAAATGGACAGAAACTGGAAAAATTATGAGCTGTAGCTCCTTCGCTAATTACTGGTATCACTTGTCAATGAGAAATTGCCATGAATTGAACTATTTTATTTATGAGAATTAGATGTTACCTGCAGAAGGGCCATCCAGCCTGGCTTATGTGTCATCCTCTTGTCTATGAAGTAGCTGAGAACTGTCCCCCACGGGCTGGTGAAGGCCACATCTTTGCCCTCCAGGCTGGATGGGGAAGCGTCCTTCCAGGCAAATCTTACGAAGTCGACCCCGGCGGGACAGATACTAGCAGGGTGGCTGCTGGGCCTGGTGCTAAACTCTGCACTAGCGGTGCATTCAGGTGGCAGGGCATCATTGGTGGGAACAATCTGGCACAGAAACATACATTAAAAATTCTTATTATAATTGACAGTTCAACTATGTCGTGTTGGTTGAAGTCAAACCATAAACATGCGTTTGTATCATTATTATCCTCATCTGCATAAAATTTACAACAGCCACATTTAGTGGTGGTAAAGTACAAAATGTACTATGAAAAGTAACATAGAACTGCTACAAGGGCAAGTTTGTCATTCAGTACATAATAATGTGGATAACATACTTTCACACTACATAGTACAATGAGGTTCGTACAAATGAATGATTATACCTTTTCCCCAGTGAAAAATCACATACCTTTGAATTAGCAGTGCCGGTAAGGGTACCGTCTGTGTCATAGTACACTCCATGATGGACCCAGCGGAATGCTCCTTTACTTGGAGAGTTGTTCCACAGAGTGTTGTCAAACTTGTAGGTGAAACCACCGCACCAATCCCCGCAAGTACCTGTAGTTACAATATAGTGTTAGGAAGAGCATCCAGCCGTAAAAATCTTGCTTCAAAAAAAGACTTGTACATGGTGCAAGCACGTCTAACCCCCGGTTGGGAAAAAATGACGTTAAATTCGGTTTAAAAAAAAAAAAAATTGACTTCCACCAATCAGGACTTCATTGCTTTCCAAAAGAACTGTATTTTTTTGCAATAGTAAATTTATCACTGACATTGCAGTCAACACATAATATATGTAACTGCACACCTATAAACTTATAAGAGTTCTGTACAACGACTAAAAATAAAGTGTTAAACAACAATATGTATAGCAGAACTTGTGATTATCTATAATTTTTACAGCAAGCTATTTTTGCAGTAATTATAGTTAATTTATCACTGACATTGCAGTCAACACACATATGTATGTAACTGCACACCTAATCATTAAACTTATAAGAACTAGAAATAAAGCTGTTAAACAACAGAATGAATCACCAGCAGAACTTGTGATCATTTTATAACTTTTGCAGCAAAATGTTTTGTACGTACCATCAATTGTTGTGATGGCAATGGCCACACATGAAGGCTGGTCAAAGTTGACAAACTTGAGTCCACTGACGGTCAAGCGATGTCCGTACGGTAGGATGATGCCCTTCTTGGTGCAGTAGGTGTTCGATGACGCAAGTTCGTCCGCACGTCCGACGATCCAGGAATTTCTATACATGGCGTCCCCCCATGCCACGTTTAAGAGGAATTTGGCTTCAAATCCAGCCTGAAGGAATGACAGTTGCACAGTTAGTATTGCTCTAGGTTTTCACCTCAACAATGATGGAATCCTTTAATTTGCTTCCAACCAGCAGTGGAAGATGTTCCTCCTATTCATGTATATGGGTTTGAGTTCTATCTTATTAGGAACAAATGGGTCAGACCAGTAGTTGCATGGCTAGACAATGCATCTGAAAACTTACCTTTTCATTGTTGAATATGATGGAGTCCGAGAAGCGGATGGCGCCACAGTGGACCCACTCTGCTCCCTTCTCGTTGTTCCAGGCGGTCAGCCCGCGGAAGTCTGCAGGCAGCGGGTCTCCCGCAGGCGTCCCGTCCGTGGTCGGGAAGTAATCCTCAAAGATCCAAATGCCAAACCAGCCCTGGGAGTGGACGGTGTTGTTGTAGAACTCTCCCAGCGGCACGTGGTCGGGGAAGATGTTGGAGTCGAAGGACGGTCCGTCGGGGTGGGGGTGCATGCGGTACCAGAAGCCGAAATGCGTGCCTCCCGCCGCGACGTTGTGAATGTGTGTGTTGTTGGGATTGGTCACCCAGTACGCAGCAGGGGTGATGTCATCATTCAGCAAACTTGTACTGAGGAAACAAAATCAGTTTGGCTTAACAGTTGAGAAGTTAGTAATCCGGCAGACATATAAGACAAGTAATCACACTATTGTAACTTACAGAAATATTGCAAAATAGAAGTAACAAATTAAAGCAAGATTTAGATAGACAGACAGAAAGCTAACAGTATCATAGAGCAGTATATACATGTATGCTACAAATGTATTAGATATCAGCCTGGATATATGGAAATTGTGTCAGGACATACATGTATGACATACATGTACTAAGTAGACAAAAGTAATCATCTTAGGTGAAATCATGTTCTTGGTTTAAATTCATATTTGCTGCTTACATTCATAAACTTCTGTGTAATGCAATTTACTTGTTTATATTACCTTGATATGACCATGACTCCAAGGTTATACTGGAAGATGTTTCCAGTCTCCACCCCATCCTCCAGGAACATGGCGCCTCCCATGATGTTGTAGAAGACGTTGTGTTCGATCAGCATCTCGTGAGTGTCGTGGATGTTCACGGCGCGGTTGAAGCTCTTGTGGATGGAGCAGCCGCGGACGTAACTGCCTCTCATGACGCCGTTGATGTGCCAATGGATGGCATACCTGCACAGATCGGTACGGAATAATGACTGCCGGTATGAACAACTTTTGGCATGTTAAAGCCACATTGAGAGAGCTGAATAACAACATACAGAATAACACCAAAATATCAAGACCTCATTGTTGGCTGTGAAACTAGCCTGCCAATGGCTGAAATTGGCTAAAAACACAATGATCTTATATAATGTACCAGCTTCTTTCTTACCATATAATATTTGTACAGTATTGAGAATTCTCCTCATGACTTGCTTAAGAAGGGAACGCTGGGTCCCTATACTCAGTCTGGTATAGCATAACATGATCTGTCCATGGTACTGATTGCTGCTATGTATTTGTGGAATATCAAATTTCTTACATAAATGCATTGATGTGGATGCATATCGTACTACAACTACTAAGTTAAACATGGTATTGGTGAAATAGAATATTTCTTACCTTCCCAGCCTGAAGGCCTGTCCAGAGTTGGTAAACTCCACGTAGGAAAGATGTCCCGCCACCAGATCTTCATCCTTACGGGGTCCGTGGAACATCACCTGCGCACCAAACATGTCCGACCCGATGTCATCACCAAACCGACCCTGGAAGCAGGTCTGTGTCGTGAACTCCCCTGAAATTGGGAAAAAAAGACCAAAAGCTTCAGAACCTATAACTGTTACAATCATTATGATTATACTGTAAATACTCAAATGTTTGCAGTGGTTTTATGCTTGTTGCTTTGACAGTGAACTCTCCACTGACTGCAGCATCTACAGTTTATTGTACAGTAGTAGTTTGAACTGTGGGATCTAAAAATGTGCTTTGAGTTCTTCTCCTACAGAGATAAGATAAAGAGATTTTTGGCATACAATAAAATATACAATACTGTTTAGTTGCATGTAATAGGACCAAAACAATACAGGAAAATTACATAACATAAAATTGGCTAAAACTGGCCCAAATGCTTAAATCTTAACTATTCTCATCGGACTTGTTTTTTGAGAATGTGGAAGATGACACACATTCAAGATGACACACTATTTCTCTATTACAGTAATACATGACTTTTGTACATCAGACTCACCTGTGTCAAACCCTGCCTCACAGGCTTCGATCTCAGTGTTCCAGTCTTCGTTATTGTTCCCTCTGACGACAACGTTGTGAGTCAGAAGGCCGACCTCTGCCCCGTAGCTTACAGTGACGCTCTCTCCGCCGGCGGTAAACGTGGACGTGGCCGCCAAGTGTTCGTATTCCACGGCTTCAGTCAGAGTCAGCGTTCTGCCGTCCTCAGAAATAGCCCGGATCTCCCGTTTCTGATTTGAACAGTAAGAAAAGGGAAATTCTTTGATTTCATACTTGCAGATGCAGGGCTTAAAATAACTTCTAATTATTCCTACTTTCTCCAAATTTTATTACGTATCTTATAAATTCATGGATTTACAGCTAATCTAGAATCAAACCATTTCTATCATGAGATAATATTAATAACGACTGGGTTATATCATTGAAAATAAGCTGGTTCAATCATAATTATACTATTCGGTTATTGTATCATCATATTTTGAAAAAATCCAAACGTCTGTGGTGAAAGAACTGTTGGATGGCTGACCTCATTTTGCCCCTGGCTGTGCCGATCTCCAGTTGTGGCAATAACAATGCTGTCCCCAACATTCCAGTTGACACCGTCCTTCAGTGTCAAGGTCGTAGCACCTGCAGCAGCTGTTTCTGACAGTCGCGACCAGGTGACGGGGGTAGGCCGACCTGCGCAAAGGACATTCAAACAACTACAGTCACAGCCACGATTCACTCATTTATCTTACTTTCTACTAATGGCTTTCCTTGTTGAGTTTAACAAAACATGAAACCTATGAGTATGAATTAATTGTTGTCTTAATTAAGTAGTTTGTGATTACAAAAATTGTATTATATTCCAGCCTCAGGAAGACAAGATTATGGTTATTATAATTTCTTGTGGCAGCTGCAGAGAGATTCAGCCATGCAAAGAAAGTTAACATTCAGCATGTAAGCGTAACCATTTGGCAGCAAATTTGTATATTTTGTCATGAGGTCAGACAGCAGGGAGATGGTTAAAACAAATCATGTAGCATGGGAGATTCAATATTATGGTAATAGATTCCGAATCTGTCAAGGCTTACACTCAATGGCTAGACCAAAATGAAGCACAAACAACATTCAGTATATCTGCATACCATGCAGTTCAAGCCTCCCTTCCCTCACAGCCAGTGTCTTGGCTCCGTACAGAGGCAGTTCAGTAGACCTGACGTGGCCAAACAGTGTGATGATACCCTTGTGCTGGAATGGTTCCTCCTCTGTCCCAACCTACAGAAACAAAAGGGGTTGATTCGTGTTGCATGTATACTATTTAGGTACTGTAAGTTAATTTGTTTTTGCTGGGAATTAATGTGTTAGGAATGGAAAGGAGATTTTTGCATTTTTTTTCAAGTTTGCAGTTAGAATAATTCTTCAGTACAGTATAATGTAAAATTTGTCTCCACAATGATTTGGAGTGGAGAGGTCACTGCGAAAATAAAATCACAGTGAACCTTTCAAGAGTTACAGTTACTGTAGCACAACCTCCTTTAGCAACCTGATTACCAAGGTGTTTGGCTTCAAAGGCAAAAAAGTTTTTCCTCAAAAGTGAGACTAAATTGCTGTCTGTCAGACTCAAAAAAAGGAGACTGTCAAAGTTTCAAAAATCTAGTTTGGTCACATGTTTTAAAATCCATCCAGTGGTAAGACTCACCTGGAGAAGTCCACCACCTGTGATGAGGATGTTCTCTGCCTTCAGTTCAACATCCTTCTCATCAAAGATCAGCTCGCCACCTACATGTAACATGAGATATGGTTGATACTTAACATAGTCTATGAGTTAAAGTTGTTCTCATCCATGTTAACTACTGCATGTACATGTACAGCAGACTGCTCTTCATGGCTTCGTTTTATTCAAATCATTCTTCTATACTCTTAAAATAAGAAAGTTCTATGCACTTATGGTACATGTCCTTGGTGCTGAATGCCATCCGTTAACAATGGTACAGACAGACCTGTCCTTAGTGCTGAAAACCATACATTAACTATGGTACAGACAGTCCTGTCTTTAGTGCTGAACACTAGCCATTAATTATGGCACCGACATACCTGTCCTTGGTGCTGAACACCATCCATAAAATAACTACGGTAGATATACCTGTCCTTGGTGCTGAACACCATCCATTAACTATGGTACAGACAGTCCTGTCTTTAGTGCTGAACACTAGTCACTAACTATGGTACAAACTTACCTGTCCCTGGTGCTGAACACCATCCATAAACTAACTATGGTACAAAAACACCTGTCTTTAGTGCTGAACTATGGTACAGATAGGCATGTCCTTGGCCCATCATACCATCTGTATCAGCATATTTCATTACCAAAGACAAAAGAACACATTATCATACCTTCAATCAGCAGGACCTTGAGTAGAGGAGTGGTGACGTCCAGGAGAAGGGTCATGCCCTTTGGCACAGCAACAAGGTCACCCGCTTCTGGCAGAGGCCCCCCTCCCCACGTGTATGGAGACGACCAGACATCGATGTACCAGAAATCAGCATTAGTCTACATGTGGAAAGAGTGTGGGATACGTTAGATTGTTGTCCAGTTTTAAAAAATACTCGGCAGGGAACTGTAATTAACATTGGACTTTTCAGGATTATAAAAACTAGATACAAATCTTAGAATTTTCTGGAAATCAAAGTTGTAAGCAGTGAGCTGCAATATTGCAAATAGGCCACTGTAAATACAATATTTTTGCAAGAACTTAATAAATTGTGATAGGATAGGAAAGGTAATCTAGGCAGTGTTTTCCATTCACAGTTAAATTGATTCAGTACTGTCGGAATGCAATATAAACACATCTTTTCATTGGAAACTATGACATTAACACCTATAGAAACATTTCAAAACCATTTCAAGACTTACAGCCCAGAAATTAAAGACATCTCTTGTGATCTTACCTGCAGGGCCACGCCCTGATCGCCGACCTCCACCCTGACCTTGGACTTGGCAGTTCCGTTGTGAGCTTCTGTCACACACACGATCTCAGTGGCAGACTCTGATTGGATGATGCAGGCACTCCCCGCAATGGTCACCACATTCTGACCTGAGGTCGTGCTGGTGGTTCACAGAAAGATATCAATGATTATTCTGATACAATACAAGAGACACAAGCCTGGAATACTTTGTACTTTCAAGAAATGAAAAGAATTTGAAGATTGAAAATCTTGGACAAAGTATATGTAGTGTGTACATCTACAACATTTTGCAAACCAAGGAGGTTTATTCTTGAAATTTCCAAATTGAATGCATTCCAAAATCAGATAAAATCTAACAAGCAATCTGAGATTTTAGACTTCCTGGGAGAGTTTTGGGAATATGTAAAATGTATTGGAACTGTGGGGGAATTTTAATCTAGTCATGTACTATACCATGAATTCCTCCTCATACCAAACATGCCATATCATTCAACTGTCAAACCCTCCTCCCACCCTCCATTCAATCCTTGCAACTTGGATACAAAACAATCAAACAGTTCAGCCACCAATACTTCTGTCCACAGAAATAATAATTTGAGCCTACCTGAAGCCAGTCCCCCTGATGGTGACAGTCGTCCCCCCTGCAGTTCCTCCCCTTGATGGGGAAACGTTGGTTACCCTCGGGGAAAGGTTGGCCCTGTAGGTGAAGGCACTGGCTCTGCTGTCTGACTCACTGTTCACACTCACCTCCACGGAACAGGCCTCATCACCTGATGAGGAATCTACAAAAACAAGGTAATAGCACAGAATAAATATCACAAACACTACATGTTCTGAAATCAAGGATGTATGTGCCTGTATTCATTGCAAATAACGTACATGTACAGTGTACATTTACTGGGTTTAATACGTCCCATTTTGGTTAAGTATTCAGTATAAATAAAAGTAATCTTGAAAATTCTAACTCTAAATCATTATTCGTGCAAAATGACTGTAAACTTTCAGATTTTTCTATCATTGAGCTTTTTATGTTTGCCTGATATATTACATGTATGTCGCCATGAATTATTATGATGTTGCAATACATGTACTTTTCAAGTCATTACACTAAAATGTATAAAGAGTTTGGAAAGCTGATCTTGCTTGGGGAACAGATGTGTCCTTGCTGTATAAGATGTGAAGTTAAGACCAGATGTTGTTGTCTTACCAGGGTTGGCAGGAACCTCGCATGTGAGACTGCTGGGGTCAGGCTGTCCTATCAGCACACACGCCCTGTCACAGACTGTCACCACGGTCAGCTGTGGGTCAAAGCCTGCTCCAGTCACAGTCAGGGGTTGTCCTCCTCCAAAAACTTCCTGATACAGAACAAAACAGAGAAAGTTTAGCAGTCAATCCTCCATTTTGGAGCCAACAAAGCACAAAGACAAGATATCATGAAAGTTTATCTGACATAACTTGGTAGAAATCATTCTGATTTGATGTTGAGCTGCAATTTCCAACTCAAATATTGGATGTTTCAAATTTTCAACTATCCAACTTCAGTGAACTAGATGTATGCTGTCATTAAAAAAGTGTGTTGAAAATTACAGTACTGTATAACCTTCAGAAATATCCATCTACTAAGATATAACAAATGTTCTGCTTGGTAAGTCTTTGTTTAATAGACATAATCTGTATGTTATACCAGTCCTGCAATCTGAAATGATCTCAACAATTATGAAGTCAACAACATTTACAATTTTCAATTCCATGATAGTTCTGAAAACCTATATAAGTGATCAGACCTTCAGTTGGGGAGGCAGAATCCACCCTCAGCTGGTACGTGAAGTTGACGTTTGAGATGGCGTAACCTCTCGACTCACTGCGGACCACGACAGGAAACTCCCCGGCAGAGTGAGAGCCCACCGAACACTGGATCTCCGTGTCGGAGAGCGAGGTCACACCGCATCCAGCGTTGTCAATGGTGACGACGATGTCCCCTTGGTCTGTGCCAAACTTGCTGCCTGTGAGGGTTATGGCGTCCCCTGTACTTCCAACTGCTGTGTCTATGGAATCCACCACTGGAGTTTGGTCTTCAAGATACCTGTAGTTCAACAATAATATGTACTAAGTGAAAGGCAAGTACAGTGCATGGTGTAAGATACATGTACATCATTGACTACTTTACTGTATACTACAATTACATTGTAAACCAAGGCATTCTAGTTTGTATGTCATAGGTTTTGAAATCATACCTTTAGATATTTTGCCTTTGAAAATGTTGTGGGTTACTAGATTAAAGGAAGAAAGATGTCTTAAAGATGTCTTCTACTTACTCAAACTGCTTGACTGGGTACTGCACATCGTTGGAAGTCGTCACAACATTTTCTAGTCCTTCAGCATGTGCAGGGACTGTGCACTTCACCTGAAATCAGCAGGAAAAAATCATTATCATAAATACTACAATTATGTAGCTTTTACCACTATGGCTTATTCATTATCATTGGCATTTCATGAGTACATGTACTTTTATTATAATAAAAGTATTGCACAATTCTCCTTTTCTGATGTCCATCTATTGGAATAAGCCTGACTTTCCTGACAAATACATTTTATCAGTGTGTATTATATAGCCAGTGTAACCCCAACTCAGTTCATCCATAGACATGGTTCACTGTGTGAAGATAAAAGGGTGGACAATCACCTGGAGTAGTGATATTTCAGTGATTGGGCAGACTAATGACCCAAACATGATCGTTGTGTCGCCATCGACAAATCCATTTCCGGTTATGGTGAGAGTCATCCCACCCTGGGTGCTGCCATTGGTGGGGGTGAAGCTGTCAATTACTGCCAAGCTTTCGATCGTCGACACGGACGAATCAGCGTTTCCTTTCCCGTCGATGTGAAGCTCAAACGCGTTGTTACCGACTTGGACTGCTGCGAGGTCGCACAGGATGAAATCGTCTTCGATGTGGGTGATGACACATTCTTCGCTGCCAACCGAGATGGTAACGTTGGACGCTTCTGTACCGAACAATGTTCCATTGATGCGTAGCTCATTTACCGCACCTGACACTTGAGTTGGCTCCACTGCAGTAACTGTCGGGGTTGCACTGACGGCGTATGTGTACCCGCAGTTTGACGTACATGCCACCTGCATGGTCACACCGTTGATAGACTGGCTGACGGTAACCTGGCCTGCAACGTTCTGGCTGGTAGAGCGCTTGCGAGACTGGTGTGCGCTTGTCTTGCACACGATCTTGGTGTATGTGACGCTGACGATGTTACACGCCTGGTCTGTTACCGTGACCTGCATGGAAGATGAGAATCCGTTTCCTGTGATGACCACCCGAGTTCCACCTGCCAGGGAGCCCAGGGCGGGAGTCACACTGTCAATGTTTGAAAGCAGAACGAAACTGCGGTCCTGGGTTCGCGTAATTTCTGTCAGGGCATGCCCGCCGTTGGTGACAGACAAAGCAATAGGAAGGTAGGTGCCGATCGGCATGGGGTCGTCCATGTCGCTATCGTGTGGGTTAGCTTTACAGAAGAGGTCGTCTTCGCCACGTGTGCAGTCAGCTGTGTATCCACCGATGGTCACCTCGTTCTCACAAGTGTTAGTCCCAAATCCAGACCTGAATTTGAATAAAACAATACATGATTAACATATATTTAGGATCTGTTGGCATTGTACGTAACTTATCATAATCACTGAATGCTAATTACTCTATTGGCTAACTAATCTATCGGCTATCTAAAGCCATTAATGTAACTACCCAAATGACCCTACCTCTACATATTCTATGAATTTTGGCAGAGCAGATCACACTATCTATTTATGATTGATACCGTCCTACTTTAACTTGAATAATCTCTATAATGGGAGACATGATCATTTGAAGAACAGAAAGAAACATCAACTGATAGAAAACTCACCCTCTGATGGTGATGGTATCACGCACAGTTCCGTTGCTTCGACTGATGGAGGTGATCTTGGGAGTGACACAGCTCCAGAAGTCGAAGGGGAAACCGTCAGCGGAGGAGTTGGATGTGGGAGCAGCGTCCGTGCAGCCAGAGATGCTTCTAACGCTTCCAGGACACGAACGTGTGTCAGTGGGATCTGCAGCAACTAATTCATGGGAACAATAAAAATAAACATCACCATACAGCAAAACAGTGAAGAGAGGTGAAATATCTCTTGAATTATACATAATGATAATGTTTGAAAACTAAGTTCCAGATATATGACTTTGTTGTTAGTTTCTTTGTTTAACATACTATATGACTTTGCACATTCAAACATGACATCCTCCTCTGTACATTGTAGATGCAGTGCTCCCAATGTTTTCTCGAGTTCCAAAATAATGCAGCTAAACCATTGACTACCTAATCTGAGCCGATAAAACACATTTACATTTTGAGTTAGCTTAACAGGTTTTAACATTTTGTACTGTCTAGAATCTTGAAATGTGGCATTCATAGAAAAAAAATTAATACATAACCATACTTTTGACAAAATATTTATACGAATACACACAACAAAAGTTCAGCTATGCTGGGGAGCTTTCGAGACGTTACTCTGTCTCTTCATCAACCCGATTAAGATCTCGTCTTGGAGTTCTCTTGTCACGTGACTTGATGGGGTAATCACGTGATATAACCAGTATAGGAAAGAACAGAAATTATACCTGAATCGACATCATAGTTGGCCTCAAAGCCTGCGACTGTCAGTTTGAGGTTTTCCTCCCGGTTCTGTTCCTCCAGAGACAGGACTTTCACAGACCCCTTCATGAAGATCCTTCCACTGGAGTCCACAGCTGCAGTACTGTAGAAGTACTGGCCTGGTGTGGTGAAGGTATGCTCAAACACACCTGCAGAGATACAAAAGGAAAAAGAGTTGACTTTCTAAAATTCAGGTACAAATAAATACCTTAAATATAATTCAAATAGACTAAACAAGTAACAATTATACATTTCTACAAATCAGGGTTTCTGTAGTGACAATCAGGTTTTAAAAGGCATTTCATGACCAGTCTGTTATATAAGTGTTGAATGTTCTATTGAAAAATGAATGACTTGCTTTCCAATGCCTTTCCTATGCCTTCCAACCATATCTACAATTGCTCCATCAACAATTCTGGCTTACAATATACACAATATAAAAATATCTACTTGAAATTAATTCAATCTTTTGACAGACAACCTGAATGATTGTAGCAATGCATAAGTTCTCAGCATCCTGAATTCTTTCTCAAGCAAACTCAGCTGATAAAAGCCTTATATATAATAATATTAAGTAGAATGAGAGATACAAAGAAGTTAACAATATGCACTAACCTTTGGGAATCCTGGGACCACTAAAGAAGCCTGTGCCGTCATAATCTGTGCTGGAGGCACTAGCGGTCTGTTGGACACTGTAGGCGACTCCCTGAGCCAGGTCTGGGGCATCCCACTTCCAGCGTACCTTGTCTCCAACACTGGCAATCACCAGACTCTCACTCCACGCATACCCTTGTCCATAGTCTATAAAACAATGGGAATACAAGAAAATTAAGGAACTGAAATTTCATGCCTTTTACTATAATAATAATAATTATTAATTAATATCTAGTTGCTAAAATATCAAGTATATTTCTAAAAAATGGCCAGTTGATAAGTAACTAGATCTACCATTTTGCAACTGTATCAAAACTTTCTTGAGAACTAAACTAATAAGCAGCAAACCATGAAGAATTTAGGGGGATGGGAATGAACATGTTGGATCTGCTGAAAATCTTTCATTTTTCAAACTTTCATATTTTGTTTAATCAATTTGTATTCCTGTCAAGTCTTGCTGAATCTTCTTTTTAATCCTCAAACCCGATATTTCCCACTTACACATACACATTTCCTCTCCAAAAATTCTAACTGCAGTGTGTTCAAAACATTTTACCTGGATGTGTCCCATCGTTAGTGACTTCATATGTCTGTGCAGCTGTCCCAGTAACACAGGCAATGAGAGTAGCATCTGCCGACTCCACCTCGCAGGGAACGTTACCAAACATCACCACGTTACTGTCCGCGGTCTCGCTGAACCCTTCTCCCTTAATGAGGACGCGTGTTCCTCCCAGGATGGACCCGCGGTCGGGATAGATGTTTGTGACGGACAGACGGTAGTCCACGTCTGGAATGCTGTTTGTGCTGCATGAAAAAGACATTGTGGTTAAAAGGGCTGGCAGATTCTGTTAACTTTCATTGTCTGACCAAAGTATATCCTAAGTAAGGCTTGATTTATATATTACCAAGCAAACCTGTCCTTGGTGCTGAACAACATCCATACACAAGTCAGTGTACCTATTCTTGGTGCTGATGACCATCCACACACAAGGAAATTGCCTGTCCTTGGTGCTAAACACCATCCATACAAAAGAAGGCATACCTGTCTCTGGTACAAAACACCATCCACACACATAACCTGTCCTTGGTGCTGAATGCCATCCATACACAATGAAATTACCTGTCCTTGGTGCTGAATGCCATCCATACACAATGAAATTACCTGTCCTTGGTGCTAAATTTCTTCCACGCGCAAGTAAACACACCTGTCCTTGGTGCTAAATGGCATCCACACACAGACACACCTGTCCTTGGTGCTGAACACTATCCATACACAAAGAAATCACCTATCCTTGGTGCAGAACAACACCATCCATAGGCTTGGACATTACCTGTCCTTGGTGCTGAATGCCATCCATCCACACAATTAAACACAACTGTCCTTAGTGCTGAAGATAATCTTTACACAACATATTACCAACCTCGTGTCTGCATATCCATTTCCATCCACTAGGAGGTGTACAGGATATGACCCTGTTTCCATGGCCGGCAGTCTCACCACTACTTCAGTGTCTGAGTATGACAGAACCTCAGCCGCCTTTTCTCCGATCATCACGGCATCATCCGCTGCTGCTTCCCCGAAGGCTGTTCCAGTGATGGCAACAACTGTCCCACCTGTTTTTTACAAGAAGTTTTAAAATTAGTGAGAATCAGAAATATACAATGATTCCATTTTAGGATATTAACAATAAAATGTGTCATGCAGCTTCTATGGCAGCAAAGTAAATTATGCAATCTGTACAATCTATAGAAGATGATTCAAAATATTGGATGCATAATCTTAAAAATATGCGCTTAATTGGACCTGTGGACCTAAATTTTGGCTGTGATTGTACTCTTGCACCTAGATACTTGTGTACGGTAAAATGTATGTATACTATGATTGTACACTTAAACATATAGCATATTCTTGAAAACTTATTAACCTTTGCTGTGTTTGAGATTTTGAATTGATCTACCGTAATTTACCAGCAGAATGAATCATCAAAGAAGCCTCAATAGAGAATGCACAGTTGTTGTACCTTCCACACTTGCGACTGAGGTGTTGAATGCAGTAATGACAGGAGTCTGTCCTGCATCGTACGTGAAGCTTGTAGGGCTGGTCAGAGTTGTGCCCAGGTCATCTCCCTGGTACACTGTCACAGATACTGTCCCTGCTGTGGACTGAAAAACAACATTTTCATATTGTATTGTGATTATGTTTTGGTGTGTCTTTGTTCAGTAATAATTTAATAAGAAGCTATGGATGGATTGTAATGATATTCAGTATGTTTTAGACAAAGTTCAATATCATTTATCTTTATTTTTAGTGTCCCCAACATGCCTAGCATGAAGAAATAATTACAAAAACACAACACAGAAAAAAGAGATGGCAAAATCAAAGCTTGGTTATTAATGAAAAGACACATGTCTCCATGAATGCTCACCCTGGCAGGTGTAGTACAGGAGATGACACTGTACGTCCTCAGAGTGACTTCACAGGGTTGACCGTCGATCTTTGGGACGTAGTCCTCTCCAAAACCATGACCGGTGATATTCAACGTCGATCCACCTGTATCAACATCATCATGATAAAATTTTGATTAGTGAATTTTTTTCCTTTTGACAGCAAACAAGAAAAATGAAACAATTATCATTGAATGACATTTTCTGCATCTTTTAAAGGAGTTGTGGAAAAGGCAAACATTGAATGATTCATCCATTGTGTAATGCTGTGACCTAAAAATTAAAAAACTCTAAAATTTGCATTTGGATTCAACAACATTTATTTTGAATTACGGACTGTACATGTATATTTTAATTTTTGAAATTACATAATATAACAACTTTTGACTTAGTTTTCATTTGTATCTAAGTCTTCATATATAACTGCAAAGGATAAACAAATCTGATTGATAATTATGATATTTGATGAGAAATCTGACCCCCGAGGCTGCCGGATGTTGGAGTAATCCCGCTGACAGTGGCGGTGTACGTGAAACTGAACGTCTGGTTCACGTGCTTAGCGCGCCCCTTTCCACCAACCGTCAGCTGCACGGCGTGGGTACCGCCGGCGCCCTCTTGCACGGAACACGTGATCTGCTCGGCTGTTGCCGTGGCAACCACGCACGCCACTCCACCGATGTCGACGTTGATGAGAGAGGTGTTTGTGCTGAAGCCGCTGCCTGTGATGGTCAGATCAGTACTGGCACTTGCTGAGCCTGGAACAAACATCAGCAAGATAATGTCAAATGAAAGGTAAAGGAAAAGTAATCAGTGTAATTATTATATAGATATATATGGACTCAAAAAGAATTAGTTACATTTTACTAGCCTGTGTATACATGTGACACTATCATGAAGGTAAACAACATGTACAATTATCTAACTGTTAGCAATCTGACTTTTGAATGACAAGCCAAGGACAAGGTCATTAATATATCTTAGTTTAGATAATTTGTAAAACATTCTTGGCACAATTTGAGCACATTGAAGATCCCAGTTCTTTTCAAAGGATATGCAAGCCTTGGTGTGTGATTGAGTCTGAAAATTTTTTGATAAAAGATTTCCTGAATCATTACTTACATCAATACCACACTGAAGCATGCAAATTCACGATATACTTTGTACAACATATGTACTCACCACTAGTAGGGGACACAGATGTTATGGTTGGTGTTGCACCATCGTTCCATACAAAGTCACAGACTCCGACACAAGAGGAGGGGACATTGTTGATGAAGACTTGGACCTGTGGGTTGTCATGCACAGTCTCCACGTAGTCTCCGCCGAGAGGGTTAATGAACAGGCCGCCATCTCTGGACTCCACCACTTCTGCTGCTGCATCTTCACCACTCAGGCCACTGCCATCCACCTGGGGGAACAGATAGTTTTTTTTATTTCATTTTATTTTCTAAAACAATGAAGAGACTGGAGTGAACAAAACCTAATAGAAACAGTGCTCATATCCAAGTAACCACCTGCTACAGTAACAAGCTCTTAAACTGACACACCAGTCAGACGCTACATGTATTTGGGTGTTAAAAAATAAGCACATACAGCATCTTATTATAACCTAAATTCTTTACTTATTTTGCTGAACTGTTTTTAGATTTTTTAATGGTATTTTGATGATTTCTGAAATTCACTTACATGTACACAATGTACATGGTCGACTTAGTGTGGGCCAATCTTTCATATGCATGTAACTGTGTGCAAGCACATCTAACTCTCAGAAGATGGTAACATAACAACAGATGATAAACCAGATAGTAAGTGAGTGAGTGGAATGTTAGATGTCTTACCTGTATGGCAGGCTTATCTCCCCCACTCAGTAGCCAGTCTACAGTCCAGGTGTAGCCGGAACAGGAGCCCTCTCTCTCCACCGACACCTCACCTGTACCGATCGTCAGCAGCTGGGCTTTTAGGTCACTCGCAGATATGTCAGACGCAATCCCTGAAGTACAGAATACAGACATGATTCAACAGTGTTGGGGGGACTATATGTTTGCATCAAAGCAACGACTCATAAGTTTCTTGCTAAGTTTGATCCATTTTTGTACTCACAAAATAGAAAACTGAGGGCTCAGAATACAATGTGTAAAAGAAAAGTGTGCATCAACTGTTTCAAAAATCATGTACTACTTTAGTTTATAGATATATAAAACGAGTGAATTTGTCATAAAGATCATCTCACCAAACCAATATTTCATTATATGCTTGCATAAGATGTAAGACTTATCAAATGAAGAACTTGTCAACTGGAACTTACCAGTCACAGAGGCTCCTTTATAACTTAAGTCCAGGGTGCCAGTAATCGGTGGTGTAGCGCCCCACTCCCTTTCTATCAGTATCTGGGAGCTGGTTCCCGTGCTCGGGAAGGTGTAGGTCTTTCTATTGCGATTACCGCTTTTCTATGGGATAGATAAGAATTCAAATGAAATTCTGCATTGCCATTGTGGTTGGCACAGCTCCATATACTAGTATTAGCTAAAATATCAGCTAAACCTGATACCATACATATCATCATCATGTATATCATTCCGTTATAAAAGTAATTACAAACCCAAATAATATCTTACAAGAAAGAAAGACTGAAATGAAAAATGTCTAGAACAATGCTGATATTCAAATGGTGGGAAGGGTTGTGTAGCAATACACTGTACATATTGTACCTAGCTGTACCAGTAAAACGGTTAATGTACAGGTCTGTATCCAAATGTCAAGAGAAAGAAAGGCAGCTGGTTAAATGCTTAATGTCAGATGAATGACTAAACTTGTCTGGTTACATGTACTTGGTATCAGACCTGTACTCAAATTGCTGTATCTACTTTCAACTTTCAACTTTATTTGTTCAACCAGGTATCACACTCAGGCCACTCTGGCCTGTTTTTCAGGAAATCCTGGTACAAAAGCACAGACAAACACCTAACAGTTGAACAGATTCACAATACATCCAAAAGTCTAAAAATAGCACATAGATAAAACTAATCTTAAATACAATTCGATAAAAACTGTTTAAAAGTTCTGGGACTAGGCTGCTGTCGTTGTTTTAGGGGGAGTGAGTTCCAGAGGTAAGGTCCATAGTACTGTAAGCTGTTACTGTATGAAGTAGCTACATGACTTGTTGTATATCTGTAAAAAAATTCTACACAGTGACTGCCTACATGTGATTTAAAGGTCTTACCGTTGCGGATCGGACCTCCATGAGTGGGAAGTTGTGACCACAGTTGTACGGCACAAACGTGATGTTGTAGACTGACTCCTCCGCAGTCTTGGACACCAGGACGTCACTCACCACGTTTCCACTCAGGCTTGGTCCAGGTGCACTCTGGGATAGCACATCTGTGGGTCAGAGAGTTTGAGTAACATTTTAGAAGGTCTTAGTAAAAAAATAAATCACATTATAAATATTAGAAATGTTCAGAAGTGAACCTTTTGAAAATACAATTCACAGATTTAAATGAAAAGAAGATATTCATGAAAGTGATAGATCAAGTATTAGACAATATCTTGAAGTCATCAAAATTACAATATGTATTCTGCACATGAGGTGATGAAGGAATTAGCACAGTAAGTTTTCATTGTTGCTAATTACCACACAAATCCACATTGTCAGAAACTTACCGTCTGGATTACTGACAGTAGCAATCCTCCCAACGTAGAAGTTATCGATGTAGAAGTCCTCCTCCTCACCACTTGGAATCTGATGTCCCCCGGTCAGAAGCATGCCGGACATGCGGAAGTTGCTTCCTGCGGTGATGTGGTTTGACACCAGTTCGTACACGTTGAGGCAGATATAATGCCACCTGAAGTGGGAACAGGAAACATTCTGTATTTAGCAAACTGTCACGTAGTGGCGCTATGTACATGTCTGCTTTTGGTGTGATTGCGTGTTTGTTTGTTTATTTGCTTCTGTGTCAGTTATTTGAATGTTGTAGAATCACAGGAACTGAGGGGGAATGGTGTAACCGCAGACTGAAAGGAAGGAGATCAAAATGGTCGGCCCACTGGCTGGGAGGAATATGATAACTATGCATAAAACCAGCGAGTGATCAACAATGAATGATTAAACAAGAAATTTATACCTATAAATACATTGTGGTTCATGCAGGTGTAAACTCTTCAATTTCTTGTCAAACCTTGGTTTTTTTTACTCCTTTTATCTACATTGAAAGTACAGATTTCTGAAACTTACTGTTGGTCGTTCACCAGTCCCACGTCATATGTAGGCCACCACATCTTAGCTAGACCACCCTCATTATAGTTCAGGCGCAGAAAAATCTTAGAGCTGAAGCTTGGTCCTCCTTTGTATGCAAAGCAGGTCTGTTTAAAACAAGGAACAAAAATTTCAGTTAAAAGGAATTAATATAACTTAGTCAAACATGTATTTGACAATAACAATAGCACTGTGACAGTAGGAAATAATCAGAAACATACAGATTTACTGTTACAGTGATATCATACTAAATAGTCTATGTATTAAAAATCTGAAATCATTTATCAACTTCATAATGAGGCAGATAATAGTCATTTGGGTACCTAATTTTGTAAAGGAGTAAAAATATCAACCACAAATGTACGTAACTAAAAAAAGTAGTTTTTTAGTTCCACAAAACAGTCATGATAACTCACGTATCTATAGGTCTGCAGGGGAATTTCTCCTGCGTTGTAGTAGTGGTAGATCCAGTAGGGCCTCTTCAATGCATAACGGCCGCATGCCACGTCCCCTGGGACCCTGGGTCCGTTTTGAAAGCTGGTTGGGTCACTCTCAAAGTCCCGAAAGAACTTTGTGATGGAACTGCTGGGGTTGGAGATGGCATCAACGCACTTGACAGACAGCATGGAGAGTATAGCACTGCGCACCTGGAAATTTGAAGAGAATTTCAGACTTCTATCTAGGAAGTATTTTTGGTTTTTGTCAGATTCAAGTTCACAAACCTCGGGGAAGTGTTTCGGGAACTGTGGAGCACTGGAGGGATTTACATAAAGTATCATGTGTTACACCAATTCCTGAAGGCACGTGCTGATTCACCTGACAATCAACTGTCAAAATCACTTCCCACCTATCAAGCAACTAAAAGCAATCAGGACAGACAGAGTTATCAACTCAGTCACACAAAACATTATACTTCCACATACTCAGGAGTGAGAACCAGGTCATGAAACAATCACCTACCACCTTGACTTGGTTGAGTTAATATTGCTACTGGCTGTTGGGACTGTTGTTTCTTTCTAACTTAAAGTTTGTGGTCCCGGTTATTGTGTTATAGAAAGTAAGGTTAAACATCTAACCGTTGGTCCATCTGCATCATTTGAAATGGGGTCAGAGTAGGCACCACCGAACATCAGCGTGAAGGTAGCCAGGGACGGCTTTCCTTCAGTTGTCCTGGCCACACTGGCTCCACTGGCCAGACTCACTTCAATCGTTGGGAAGGTTCCTAAAGACATGGGAATTTCATTGAACATCTTTAGAGTCATCAACATTTAGTTTCTGAGTTTTACTTCAGAAAGTTGTATGTATCATCACTACCATGAATTAAATATTTTTCTCCATAAAATCTGGTGCAAATTACATTAACTTGAAGCTAAATTTGCACTTTGGATATGAAATCATGATATCAGTAACTTTGATGCACATCAGTACTGAATTTATCTTTTAACTACCCCTTCCACTATTAATTGGTGAACACGTGTGTTACTTGTGAACCCGAAGCATCAACAACTCCATAACTGGCAAGATTAAGTAAGGATCATGTTTAGACAAAAACCAGTTCATGATACTGTAATGCTGTAATAATAAGACACACGCATTACCTTGGGTAGACCTGAACTCCACGGTATATCGATTGCCTGACTTGGAGACACGGACTTGTTCAGGGGCAATGGAGGGGAGCACGTTGAGGGCATTCTGGACTGTTCCTGCACTGTTGTCTGAGTTCAGCAGTCCTGCACAGGAGTAACATTAAGTTAAACACAGATTCAGTAATTGTTACAGGAGTTCTTAAAAGGACATTGGAAAACAGGAAATATTTATTGACAATCATTAACATCAAAGTCAACACATGTTGCTCAACACAACAATGTTGCTCAATATCAACATACATGTAACAAATATCTCCATGAATATAGACTTATGAAATGTAAGAAATAGATGATACAATCATGTATTGTGATCATCAATATTATAGTTAGGAAATATGGTCATGCTGGATAGATAGGAACAGTTGCTTGAGAACATAAAAATAAAAGAAGAAGACCTGAAAATAATGCCTGGATCTTCATCTGAATTGTATATCTGTCCAAAATTTATCCACTTAAAAGTTGCTTATCAAGTCCTTCAAACAAAGGGATTATGAAACTAAATTAATCAACCAACCAATGCCAAAAAAAAACACACAACATGAAAATCTTAAAACCACTGTTAAAAGTTAACAGAGCCCTTAGTTTCTGTCATGAACACCTGAAATACATACCTGTGGTGGCACCCCCTACTGTTAGCTTAAAGTTCTGTCCACCGGAGATGGTCACAGTCTGGACTTCATTCCTAGCCGAGGCGGTCGACCAGCTTGACAGGGTCACGATCTGAAATATCATCACAAAGTTTAATATTTTATCTGTGGTAACATTTTATCTCCTGTCAAGGACAAAATACTTCCACAGGTGTGGGCAACTTTCCACAATTTTCTCCTTTACACAAATTTCTCCTAAAATCCCTAAGAGTAAGAGACAATGAATTATGTCAACGAATAAAAAGACTTTTAAAACTCTTTGTTACATTGTCTTCCATTCATTTTAACAATACACATGTTCAATTAAATAGCACAGAGAACCTAATGCCAAACAATTAGTCTGACTCATTATAAATGGATATAAATGTAAAGTCATGGTTGAGCCTTACCTTTTGACTTGGCAGATTTTCTAATACAGATGGCGTTGGTCATGAGCTATTATTATTTACTTGCAGACAATGTTAATAATAGTGTATGACAGACTCATGTAGTAAAACGAAGGAAACTTACCTGAACTTCATTCCTTACTGTAGAAGTCGTTTTGATTTCTTGCTCCTCCATCCAGGCATTGTCTGTCTGTCCCGAGGTGAAGTCAGTATCAAAGTAGCGTGCAGCGACGTAGACATTGGAGCCACCACCACCTTCATGATGGGTCACCTCCATGTAATACCTATAAAATCATGTAAATTGTGGTAAGTCTTGACAAAGTACAAATACGGTTAAGATCTTGAAATTTTTGTAGTGGTTTTATATTCAAAGTTTTTGAAGTGACCTCTTCATGGTGAATTCATGACATCGGGAATCATTATGCATTTTCCAACATATTACTGTACTACTACATTTTGTAGTAAAAGTACAACAGACTTGTTTCCACTGCAAATTGAAAACATTCGTAAAAAATCTCCTGCCACAAAATAAAACCATAGCAAAAATACATGAATTTACAGTATTTTGTAAAGTTAAAACTAGAGAGAGTTGTTGTGAAGATGACTGTCAAAGATTTGGCCTAAGCCCACCGACCTCTTTCCTTCCTGCAGCATCATTTTTTCTGTCCTTTGCTCTGCATGTCTGGTCCAGTGGGGCCTGTACTGGCGACAGTAGGCAACCCTCACCTGGAGAAGAAAAGAAAGACACAAAAGTAGGAAAACTCTTCAGCCCATGGAATTCATTATAATTGGTATATAACAGTAACAGTGTTAGATATTGTACAAGGGTGACACAATGAATTTTAACTTAAAATTTAAGTACAGGAGGTACGTTTTTCCACAAATGGTATACAGTAATTACATGCATGTATATCATTTTTAAATTAATCTTCTGCCCTCCTCATGTTTATTGCAAAATAAATTGAATATACTTGTAGTTAGAAGATATACTGTATTTATGATAATGCTGGCTTTGAATCTAAATTCCTCAATATTCATGTAAACTTGACTAACCCTTTTTGCAGGGTCTTCATCTGGGCTCATGTACATGTTGGATCTGTCGTCTGATTTGACGTAGAACTGCCACAATCCGGTTGCAGTTGGTACAAAGAAAGCCTTCGTCCTTGTTACGTAACTGTGCAGAAAGGGATCAACCAGTAAGAAGGAAGTTCAAATGTTACATTGATAAAAATAATTTTTCTAATTACAACATGATATTGCATATGTCCATTTCAAGACATTGCATTTAGTAATATGTAAGTTCTTTTTTTAAATCTTGACTTACATGTACTTAAACTATATCATAATGATTTAATGCTATATAAATTATATGGAGGTATGGGAATATAATGGTTTTCTTGTGTATTTTTTTTTATCAATGAAACACTGTAGTGTGTAATTTCAGTGTTGTAAAGAGTGAATGTTGAAATGTTTGCAGTTTTCAGTGACCATGAAATTCCACTGCATCTTTATAATAATTATTGTACTGCAAAACTCATTTCCACTCCTACAGCAAAAATAACTGAATCTACTTACGAATCCATGACCGGCTCAGTCCACCAGAAGCCCTCCGCTACAGGACGGACCCAGTACCCAGCTCTGTCAGAGGTGTAGTTGGTGACCAGTGCAAAATCATCTGTACTCCAGGGATTGGTGTTGTTCCACTGTTCGATTCTTGCACCACGGCCACCTAGCGGTAACAACCAAAATAACAAGAGAGCCATTTTAGATTATTTGGTCTCTCAAATGATGGCATCTTTCATATCATTAATCATTTGGTAGCAACTTGTTGCAATTCTCTTCTCAATCCAAGGAATATAATTCAGCACACATCCAGTGATTTTTGCCCATTGATATGAAAAATGCTACATAAATTTTTCTTTTATGCAATACACATGTGTGTAAAATATTTCATACATATATCTAACCATCACTTGTCTATAACTGTAACACCGAATTGATAGGTTTTCCTCAGTTTATTATTTCAAGTGCACTTACCTGGCCAAGCTGGTAGGGGGCTCTCTGGAACAGCTGGGGTGATGCACTCAATGGTGTCAAATGTTGGGGTACCCACAACCTCACATGGTTGCCCTGGAAAAAGTATCATAATCTTATATTTAAAGCAACTAAAAAAAATAAATCTACTAGGAGATATATCAGCTACTATTTGAGGAAAATATTTTAAAAAAATCTATAGCATGTTGGACAATAGGCAAATTTTTCGCATTATTCTACGCACAAGATTTACCACAAACACACACACACAAACACATGCACGTACGCGTGCGCATGCACACACACACTTACCTCCAACCAGAACCCTTGGAGGTGTCCTGCCAGTGGTGTAGTTAAAGAACCTCCCCCTGATGGTGATACGGGTGCCTCCTCCTTCACTACCTCCGGATGGACTAACACCCAACACCTCTGTAACATTTACGGATAATACATACATGTACACAATCAGCTAATATCTGTGAAACATTTCAGAAAGTTAACACATGTTTATTTTCATATCGTGCACTCTGTATAATTATTCTCCCTACAGTACTTGTAGACTGTGGCAGATTCATTTTGCCCATTTACACAGAAATTATGATCATAATTTATAACTGCTGACCTGCATGAGTTTGGAATCCGTACAGTTCAGACTGGGCACTGATTTGTATGTTTTCTTTTGTAGTCTGGGACCTGTGGAAAAAGTAAGAGTATTTGTAATTTGATCAAGGGCAGTATAATGTCCTTGATTTGCTGTACCGGTATTGCACAGATGCACAATTCCATTTCGTGCTGGAATTATAATTAGTTGGAGAAAGTTTTAAGAAAATAGTCATATTTGTTTTGAATCTATTCCCAGAATATAGTTATCTTTACCAATCTGATAAATTCCTTCATTTGCCAGGTTATAAAATAAACTGTAATCATACATGTATTAGGTGTTTAAAACACATGACGAGTGTGGGCACTACAGTAACAGTGAAAGATACATACCTGCCACGGCTTCCACTGATGACAAAACTTCCATTGTGACTACCTGTAGGCAAAAAACAAACATGAGACGTTAATATTGTATAAAGAGCTAATGTTACACACTCGGATAAATTTTTGAAAAACAATGACTCTGGAAAGTCATGTTCCACTTAGAAGTGATTGGAGGAGTGAGCTATATAGCTAGAATTTTATTGATACTCTGCTACTCCCAACCTTGTTTTTTTTTTTTGTTTTACAAACCAGAGCTGAATGTGTGATGTTTTTACCAATGAACTTGTTCTTGACTTGACATTTCAGGTTTCCCCAGTTGGAGTCAGCATCCAGCTGTATCCCGTACCTGTAAAAAACACAACAAACATTTAAACAGTTACTGTAACTTAAAGTGTAAGAGAGCATCACAAGATTATAGGTGCAACCAAACAACCGAAAAGCACTTCAAATAACAAACCATGCTTCAAGCTTCAAAAAATCTCTGTATCTTTGAAAAAGGCCTCATGTACAGAGGTTGACAGATTATTATAATAGACTTTTAAAAAACTACTAGTACACATTTATACATGTACGTCTTATGCTCACAAAGGTTTTATTACAAGGTATGAAATGGACATCTAAATATCACATATAATAAAATGCATCATAAATCATACATCATATTTACCCTACAATACAATTCTGTGAAAGATATGCATACTCACAGTTCTCCAGTTTCGTCGACCAAGTCACAAATGGCATTGCCAACATAAGCTCTGCAGAAAGAAAGCAACAGTTACAACCATCCCAATGTACTTCCAGTATAAATCTTTAGCAGTGCATGGTTTCATCTTGATTAGTCTTCACATTTTTTGCTGTGACGTCTCCACCATAAATTCATGACACTGAATTATGTCTCCCTTCTCTGACTATAGTACCCTCTGTACAGTAGTAGTACAATAAAAAGGCACATTTGTGATATCATGATTTTGCAGCAAAGAGGTCGGTCACATACATTTCAAAACCACCACAAACATTATTGGACACACACTAGTAACTGTTAGACTCACAAGTGAACTGTTAGGCTATATACAGGGTGAGGGTCACTGGTACAATGTACTTGACGTCAAGACCATGAAAAAAGAAACTGAAGGTGCCCACCTTTCGATGGTGTCTGCATCGCCCCCAGCTGTATTCTGGTACTTTGAAGTGAAGATCTTTCCACGAAAGTCCACAACAGTTCCTGGAATACAGAGCCACAAAACACTTAATGTTGTCATCAAATCTTGATTTTGAATAAAATTCTCCATGCAATTGATAAGTTTTTGTAACATAACATTAATGTAGTGCTGTCACAATTTGTTAACCAAACCTAAGCGTTATGTTAATCAAACCTTGTTTGCATCATCTCAGAACTGCAATTGAATCTGAGATATCTGAGAACCTCCACATATTTTATGGAGGTATGACATCTTGGAACACTTGTTTTCTGCATTCACGAGTTGCACATTCCCAGGATCCTTTGCGCACAGGGTAGGGTAAACCACGTCATCCTCGGCTCTGGTCGGAAGAAGGTATCTGGCCGATAGTAGTAGTAGTAGGCTGGGAGCATTCAATTTCAAAAGTCTGTCTTTTTGTCACATTTTCACGTAGTATGTTGAATCAACCCTATCCTATCCCATACCGATAGTCATGGAGCAAAAATTCGATGCCGCTTTGCCGTACGAACGCCGTGAAAAACTACGTGCCTCCCGCCGCCGGCAGTGGTGTCAGCCATTTTTTAAATTTCCGAGCGCTCGCGAACACTTCCGACTTCTTCCGAGCAGAGCCGAGGATGAGTCACGTGGTTTACCCTACCCTGTGCGCAAAGGATCCTGGGAATGTGCAACTCGTGAATGGTCAATCAAGCCCTGACCTTTGACCTCCAAACATCCTACTCCCTTGTCTCCTAAAATTGGTTTCTTACTGTTTCCCCCAAAAGTTTGCATACATAAAAGTTGTTCTATGGCTCCTATCACTCAATGCAAGTTAATTGGTTTATGAACTACATTGTAGTAATTTCGCTAAAATAGTTTGTAAAACAACACATGCTTACCAGGAGGTCCAGATTTGGGGGTGATCCCGCTGATGTACGGTGTATGGCCATCCTCGTACTGCATTTAGGACATAAAGATGAACGTGGCTATTTACACTCCCGGTGTGTAAATAAAATCTATTTGTCTTTTATATACACTCCGGGAGTGTAAATAAAATCTATTTGTCTTTTATATACACTCCGGGAGTGTAAATAAAATCTATTTGTCTTTTATATACACTCCGGGAGTGTAAATAAAATCTATTTGTCTTTTATATACACTCCGGGAG